AAAAGGTAAGATAAACTAAAATATGTAAAAAATTTGCCTTAATTTAAAGTAAATAAACGGAAAGTGCAAGAGTTCTATGTTATGTAATCACCAATATGGTATCTACATATTTATAAAAAGTTGGATGAGTAATTTTAAAAATAAAAAACACCTATTATAACATATAAAATAATTTTATTATCTCAGTATCATATATCAAAATATCAATTGGATGGAGAATTGCATCCTAAAGTGATTTTGAAATAGATTTGAGAGGTCCAATAAAAATAACTTTTTTTGGGCACCAATCTATACAAGTTAGACTTGTGATTTTCACACAAGAAAATACAATTTTATTTATATAATTTAAACAAACACCGTGAAAAGGGCGGAAGCTATGAGAAGAGAGGGTTGAGAGAATTAGGCATATATGTCCACCTCTTCTCTACGATCCCCAATAGCCAAAAAGTTATTTTAATTTATTATTTACTTCAATTTATGCTTCAAAAATGATTGTAACAATAATAAAACTAATCTATGTTTTAACTTATTTTTATAGGCTTGAAGGTAAGGTGGTGGTGCTAGTGGAATAGGAGCAGCCACAACTAGACTTTTAGGAAATTCAACATGGTACAAAAGTTACAATTGGAGATATTCAAGACGATGTAGGAAATTCATTAGTACATAAAATCGGCACAGAACACATAGTGTTTGTACATTGCAATGTTGCGATTGAACCTGACATTCAAAACGCGGTTGATGCAACACTTGCTAAATTTGGTTAGCTTGACATAATGTTTAGTAATGCTGGTATAGCAGGTGAGCCGATTTCAAGCATCCTAGATGTAATTAAAAATGTGTTTAATGTAAACGTTGTTGACTCATTTTTATGCGCGAAACATGTTGCTAGAGTGATGATATCGACCAAAACAAATGGAGTGTTGTATTTGGCAACTGATGATTCTAAATATGTGAGTGGTTTGAACCTAATTATTCATGTCCTTCAACAAAGTGTTCCTATCTAGTGCTCAACTTGAATCCAACAACAAATAGAAAGACAAATTGAAATTTGTTTGTCCTCTTAAATAAGTGCTGTTTCATTTGGGAGGAATTTTCAAAGAATCAAAACTTTTTAATGTCAACATAGAGGTTTTGCCTATATGTGTTGAAGAGTTGCTAGTGTTATTTGTAGACGATAAAATTCACGTTGAGAAAAAAATAATTAAGAGCTGAAAAGTATAACAATAATCATTTTATTGATTTTAGAATATGAATGTTATAGTCTCTATGATTTCTCTGATTCATCTTTTCATATATAATTCAAGGGTTCTTGAGCTTGATATTCTTAAATTTGTCTTTGAACTTGATCTTGGGTTCAAAGGCTTTGCAGTTTGTTCTTGAATCTTTGATGAACTTAAACTTGAACTTTATTGAATCTTTGATGAACTTGAACTTGAACTTTATCTTGATCTTCAGTTTTAATTGAATTCAAGGCCTTCAAACTTGATCTTGAACCTTCAATGAATTTGAACTTGAGTTTATCTTAATATTGAATTTTACTTGAATTCAAGCTTTCAAGGGCTTGGAGTTTGTTTTTTTGAATCTGATGGTCTCGATCTTGATCGTTCTACTAGTAAACCAATTCTCTGACAGTGGTGGTGAAAGTCTGTTGATTGAAAACTCACCTCGAATAAAAGCTAATTTAATTGGATAGTGAAAAGACCATAATACGATGCTAAAATTCGATTTTGACTTTACTTATCTAGACAATTCAACTTCGAATGGGCATATATTTCTCTCATACAGACACGAAATCGTGCAAACTCGCCGGTTTTAAATTATTTTAAATAATTAAATTACAACCAATAGTTGAGTGACACGTAATTAAAAATTATTATTTAATTTTTTTAATTTTGGTCCGTTAATGAAGGGGTAAATTTGGACCCAAAGGTGGATGTGAAGGGTATTTGGGGGCTAATAGGTGGATGGGGTAATTTTGTACCATTTTCAATACTTCGAGGGTATTTTAGGCTCTTTTCCATTTATTATAATGTAATTGATAATTATAGATAATATTGATTATTAAAAGTGGAGTAAAGACGAACTATATCATCTTTATAAGAATTTTTGGGTAGACATTTTAGTATTATTAAGACTTTATTTTAGTTATTCTTACAAAAGTATCATTTTCATTGAAATGTGCATACTTCTTTTTAGACATATTTAGAGTAAGATTTTATGAAGATTTACTTCCAATGAATAACGCCTAAAAGAGTAAAACACATTTTTTTTTGCGCTTTCTTATTT